CTCCGAGCGAGCCGGTCCTCGGTTGGACTCGCTTTTTTTGGCGTACGCCATTTCCGCCTTTTGGCCGTACGTTCATTTTTAGTATGGTTTCCATGCAATCCTTTATAAATGAGACCCCTGACCTGTAAATCAGACCATATTCATATCATCATGTTTATTGCAAAAACATTAACCTTTAAAGTCATCCATTAATTTGGGGAGTCATATTATATACAGGAGTATAATCTGAATGACATTTTGAAATGTACTACCGCAATAACTATATTTTCTTATATATAACTGAAATATTGTCACAAGGATAAATCATTAATTCTCCCTCTTCACTCGCACTCTAGAATGTACAAAACAGGATTAGGGCTACTCAAAAAACGTAAAATAAAAGAATTCAAACTTTTTTCTCAGAGTTCTGACTTTAAAGTCAGGATTTTGAGAAAAAGTCAGAATTCTGAGATTAACGTCAAAATCCCCTTTCGTAACCCTAATTTACACTAAATAGGACTCCGCTCCGCTGTGCTGCAGTTCGCAGCTGTTTGTGTGCACCCCAATTTGTACAATGTCCGCTCCGGTGCGGTGCACAGAGGAGGGAGCGTGTGCAGGAAGGAGACTGTGCAATAAATCCACTGATAAATGTGGAAGTCARAGCAAAACTGATGAATTCTGTTCAAGATGAACTCCAAACACAGCTGAAAATATAGATATAAAAACTTTTGGTATCTATGTTGAAACTGTTTCGCTGTCATCTTTTTGAAAGTTCTGATTTCAAAATAAAATCCATTTGCATCATGTGTACACATATGCTTCATGCTGTATGTTGCCATCTGCTTCCCAAACAGAACGATACATTCTGACAGCATGTGTAGAAATATATCCATATATTGATTAATATAGCTGGGATTTCAGCAAAATTTGTCCGCCCTACGGTGTCTTATTTTGAAAATACGGATGTTGTGCTTGTTCCTTTTCCTGTTGGTGCAAAGTGATCTTTGTAGACTGACTCCAGAGCAGCTCCGACGTCCAGCAAAAATAGAAACAGATCAGCACCGCTGTGCGAAGCCATTGTAAACACACTCATTGACTATAATGGTTGCGTATTTGCTGCAGAGGTGTAAATTAGGGGTAAGAATGCATTGTGCTTAACTAATGTTTGTGTTGTTCTTGTTAACCACGGAGATGGAAAGAAGATATCAGTGGACATCAGTTGCATGTTCGTGTGCTTAATAAGACCAGATGAGCTGCTCCTCTAAGCTGTCTATCTTGCTACCTTAACAAGCAGCTTCTGGGAGCCACAAACACACCCACAAATGTGTGTCCTCAAAATAATCTGTTTTCCCAACAAAGAGTGCACCACAAAGGCTGATATAACCTGAACTTTGGATGAAATTAAGGGTAGCATTATAAACAAGGATTATTTTTAGGCTTTTTAGGCTCAAAAAATGAGGGTTGCATTATATTCAAACTATATTATACATGTATTAATACAGTAAAAYGTTCCAATCAGAACGTAAAGTTCTGACCAACAGTATGTTTTTGTTAGCAACATRTATGTGAGTACACCGATGACACTGTTTAGTATTCTGAATCTTGTCAACTTCCTATTTTTTAGTTTTTGTTTAGTATTCAGATAAATCAGTTATGAGTTACTCTTTAAATGTTCAGTGAAAATGTCAGATTTAAACATGTTTTATCAAATACTATATTCTGGATTTCAATATTTTCTTTGTGTTTTTCCTCTTTCCCTCCTTCAGTCCCAGAAACTGGCTTCTTCTCGCAGACGTCCTCGGCCGGCTTCGGATGACTTCTCGCTCCTTCCGCCGCCTCTTTCCGCAGCTGAACATTCAGTCCATCCCTGAAGATGAGTTCTACCGGCAGGCATCCCTGTCGCAGCTCCTCACGGGTCCCGATGAACAAGAGCTGGCCTCCTTCAAACCCGATATCAAGGACCCGCTGGAGCTGGTGCAGGCCACCCCGGAGCTTGCGGGCATGCTTGGCTCCTCCCTGGAGTTTGTGGACAGTCGCTGGGACTCACTAGAAGCTTCTCCGCCCCCGACACCTCCCTCCTCACCGAGACCACCTCAATGTATTATTACACCGTTTCCAGTGCAGCAACAGAACGCAGAACCTGGTCCTAAAGTCAGAACTACAAAGTCCAATTYAGGACTGAAATGTTCAGGTCCTGCTGCTAGATTAGACTTTAGCAAATGGGAACCACTAAAACAAGAAGATAAAATTGTTAGGATTACCTCTTTGGCAAAGCCAGGCAATACTGTTACCGCTAGCCTTTGGGAACCACAAGGACAACGAATCCAGAATCCTGTCATCAATGGGACCACTCACTCAGACCCTAAGGGGGACTTTAAGAACTGGGAACAACAACATCAAGGAAATACCAAATCTAACTCTGGGGACGGCAGGAACATTTGGGAACCRCAGCGGCTACAATGTAAAAGCTCGGGGAATTCTAAAACCAAAGTCGTGAACGATGGRTCCAAACCAACTCAACTTCAGATTAAGAACACTGAGAATTATAATCCTGCAAATTTAAAAGAACAGGCAAATGCTAACATCTGGAAAAATCAAGAAGGTACGGAAGTCAGGGTGTTGGATTCTCCAAACACACCTGCTTTGGTTGAACCAAGGCTACAAAGTAAGACTTTTGAAACCTCCAGCCCTGTGAAGCTGGACATCTGGGACCATCAGAGAATAAAGAGAACTGGTGGTTCTGTTGCAGCATCGAAAAGAGACACTAACCCCTGCGAGGACTACAACCAAACATGTAAGGCCATAAAGATGGATGCTGCCTGGCAGAGGAACCTGACCAATGTCAGAGTCCACATCAGRGACCTGGGGTTGAAAGTTGCCAGCATTCGGCAGGATCTGAAGAAGGAATCGGTTAAGGGAGTGGGAAAGAGTCCAAAAACCAAAACAAGGTCATGAGACCATCAAACACCACCAGGAAATACTTCATGTTGTAAACTCTGTAAATAAACTCTGACTGTAACTGTGTCATGTGCTATGTGTAAACTGAAAAAAAACTTCTTCTTTTTTTAATTTATGAGCACTTTGGTCTTTGTGCATTGAGTCTGATGCAAATATACGTCTGTGGTGTTGAGAGTGTTGGTTCTGTCCAGATATCTTGTTGGCTTTTTTCACCAACTATCGCTGTTCAATAAAGTTAAAGATGGAGGATGAACTCATGACTGGTCTGATCTGAGCTCATTTTGTTTAAAAGATGTCACCCTTTGGGTTTATCTTGACCGGAGTCCAGTGCTATTGGTTTTAATTATGTGATGGTTGCCAGATTCTGACCTGGTTTGTGTCTTCGGGCTGAGAATGAACACATTTAGCCACTTTTGGACAGGTATCAAAATGTTCAACTCATTCAAATGTGTTCTGATTTTTGGTATTTGTAACATTTATATGTTTTATTTGTTTTTAATTTTATTTTTGCTTTTTGGTCTTATTGGAAGGAATGGACATTGCTTCAGTACTTCAGTGCATTTCCACCTCCAAACACTATTCAGACTTGGAAAGAGTTTYACCATGTGACTCAGCTGTTTGATATTTGAAACGTTTATRCATCCATCCATTATCTWTACCTGCTTCTTCTTTTCAGGGTCACAGGGGTCACTGGTGACCATATCCAGCAGTCTGTGCGAGGGGCAGGGTACATCCTGGACAAGTGGCAAGTCTTCAATCAAAATGAAATGTTTTTAACATCACAATTTAGACGTGAATTTTGGGGTCAGTTTCAGATTTTTTGCTGTGTTTAGCTGTGATGTCACCCACTTTATAAGTGAGAGCTTTTTAATCTTGCAAAACTTTTGCAAACTTCTTTTACTTCTACAACCTTGCATGCACAAAATTTGCATCAAAAGTTCAAACGTTTTCTTCCTACCCAGTCTGTCTCTGCTACAGGATTGTTGTTTTTCTTACAAATCCCACCTCAGGAGGCTTTGAGATTTAGATCCAAACTTGAGTTTTGTCCTWAATTCTAAGACTTGTTCTGGTTCCCTGACCTTTTTTTTTTGGTGGGGGGGCTGAATGCTTCCTGCTGTCCTGGCAGATGTTTGATTCAGATGTGTAAAACCATTCAGTCATAAAATCTGTCAACTGTCGTGATCTCGGCTCGTCTTCAGTAAAAACCGGGCAAGGCYATTTTCTCGGAAACAAACAGGAGCGAGTTCATTCATGCAGGCAGGATGAGTCGTTCAGCCTCGCTCGTCTCGTTCGTTCGCCCACATCCCTTCATGCAGCTGAAAACAGGGTGAGTCATCTGTTCTTCACATTTCTTCTTCGCCTTCCAAACACAAACACATTCTTGTGAATTTGGCTTTAAGAAGACAATCAATCTGATGTTCTACAGATTTCTTTAAAATGTATTAAGAATCTTTCACACATTTATTTCTGTGTGTTGRATCCTACTAGAAGAACATTTGTTTGATTCATACTAGCATACTAAAATGAAATTCTGCTGTTTAATATAGAATTTTACTTAAAACTTTAAACAGAAATGTTAAGTAATTGCAATACTTAAACTCATTAATCAGCTTTCTTTTATGAAGTCTAATGACAATTATGTTGTAATAATATAAGTTGCAATACAGCCAGACTTTTTTTTTCTGGAGAGAAGAGCTTTAAATACCAGGTTCAAACTCCATTTTTTTCCAAACTTTTAAATCCTAATTTCTGCTGTCTCTCTGACTTAACCCAGATAGCAAAAGATGTTAATTCAATATTGAATTATGGTTAAAAACATTTATTTTTGGTTAAGGTCGACGACTGATGGTGAATCAACCATCAAACAATCATCCAGTTTTAGCCATTAACCAATCTTGAAAAGATGTTAATGAATCAATGTTTCATGGTCGAACTCTAATGATTGAAATACCAACATCTAATCATTGTTGAATCAACACTGATATTGTATCAATTATAGTTAAAAGCCAAACATTGTTTCATCAAGTAAGTCACCGACCACTTTATGTATAATTTCAACATGGATTCGGTAAGATGCCTGACCATATTTCAATGCTGATTCACTCATATTCTGCTTTCTGGGAAGGCCCTTGGCTGTGAACCGCTCCAGTGAAAGTTGAAGATCACGGCATGACAAAGCCAACAGGACCACATCATCTGCAAACAGCAGAGATGAAGTTCTGAGACCTCCATCCCCAGGCTGCACCAAGAACTTCTGTCCAMAAACGTTGTGAACAGAATCGGTGACAACAGGCAGCCGTAGCAGAGTCCAACTCCCACTCTGAAGGGGTTTGTCTTACTACTGGCAATGAGAACCACATTCTCGCACCATTTGAAAGGGACTGAATGGCCCGTGACAATGGACCCACAATCCCATACCCATGGAGAACCCCCACAGTGTACCTCGAGAAACATGATTGATTACCTTCTCCAAATCCACAAAACCTAATTTCCCTCTGGGATCAATAAAGTATTTTTGAATTGAATTGAATTGAAACACGTAGACTGGATGGGCAAACTCCCATCGCCCTTCAAGGACCCTAGTGAKGGTAAAGAGCTGGTCCAGGGTTCCACGGCCAAGATGGAACCTGCATTGCTCCTTCCTGAGGTTTGACAATCAGACTCACTTATCCAGCACCCCTGAAAAGACTTTACCAGGGAGGTTAAGGAGAGTGATACCCCTATAATTGGAACACACCCTCCGGTCCCCATTACTATTATTATTTCAGCTGTAGACTTCCGAACAGGTCTGGATTATAACACTCACTTCAACTAAATACCATTGATGGAGTAAATCATAAATTGCAACTGAAACAGAAGAATAAAAAGCAAATAGTGTGAAGGTAWTATGAATTGAAACCAGAGAGTACATAATAAGACCAGGTGAATAAAACTGCTCAGATATAAACTACTGGTACTTCTTTAATTAATTAATTTGCAACTGATTATGTTAAACATGGAGTGGATGCTGTTTCAGGACGCAAAATTAAGTTCAGGTTCAGAGTTTGTGTCAGTTTGAATATWAATACTGACTTGGGTGCATTTTTAGTGATATTTTGTTTTAAAACCAGTTTGTTTCTTACTTCAGTTAGTAAAATGTTTTTATTATTATAATTCTCTCAAGTTTAATTGGTGACAACTTGTTGAAACCCTGTTTGTGTCTGCACACGTGATTGCGTTTTTCACATCTATCACAACAGCCACAGGCTGGGTCAACGTGCCTGATGTGGCCTTCCTCTGCTGCTCGCTCGCTTGTCGTGCGGCATATTTTAATCTGAACACACAACAAACCACAAACGTCTCCTGTTCTCTCTGACAAACCTGCGGCTTTTGTCAGCCAGARCTGAAACCAGCTCTCACATGAACAGATTTATCAAACTGTGAGGAAACTCCGACTTCTCGGCAGGCTGCGCYTTGTTTCACAGACCTACACGCAGTGGTGTTTGTGTGTGTGATGAATGTGTAACTGCGAGTGTGTGGCTGCCTGAAGACGGAGGATTGAATTGCTAATGCGCCGCAGGAAGAGTGCGTGTGTGTGCGTGTGTGTGTGTGTGTGTGTGTGTGTGTGTGTGTTTGGGTCGTCTGGTTGGCAGATCTGCGAGGCTGTTTAGCGAGCGAGACGCACAGCGCCACAGATGAATATTTAAACAGAGGGAAGCAGAGCAGCCATCATTTATTGATGCTGCTGAAGGGAAAGATGAATAGCCTGTCTGTGTACGCGGCGCTGGAAGCAGCCGGCATCCAAACACTACTCAGGTCTTGAATGTGAGGCGGGAAGCAGGGATTCTTTGTGACGGCGGTGGGATTTTCAGAAACACAATCTTCTGACAAACTTCATGATAGAAGTTCATGATAAATATTTTTTTAAAGCTTCCATTTATTTGCTTAAACCCTCTCTGGTCTGTCCCGGGGTCTCCTCTCCTTGGAATGGACCAAGGAGGCATCTTCATCAGATGACCGATTCTTTTTTGATGAGGAGCAGCGGCTCCTCACACTTTCTCAAACAGTGAAAACAGTTCATGCTTTTCCATGCAGGCAACCGTCCGTATGCACGTCTGTGTTCAAAGTTCAGCTTCAGCATTGTATTTGGAAGTCTACAGTTTTTAGATGTGGCAATGATGTGTTCATTTGTTTGCTGTCTATCCAAGAAAAAGAAATAAAGTTGGAGTGATTTGTCACCAGGAATTAGCGTCAGTTTTATGTTCTTTGAGTGACAAATTACGAAGCCCACAAGTGGATATCAGAGGATTTGTTTTCCCTCGTTACCTAGCAATGCTTTTATTCCAATGCATTATCTCACAATACTTCTTGAGATCCCGTGCAAAAGTTTTGTGTTATTGAGTTTATTGGTATGTTTTGTATTAACTGTACTGAATGAGAGTTTTATTTCGAAATATCAAGTTACCGAAACTGGATTGTCACCACAAGTTAGAGATATTAAAGCTGCATAGAGTTAAAAATCTTAATATACCATGACTCCAAGCATTACTAAGAGATCTTTATACTGAAACTGAATCAAAGTAGCAACTCTCCTATAATGGTGCACATTGCATTAATAAACTGGCATTCACAACAGCAATGAACAATTTTTGTGTGGGAGCGCAAAAAGTATTGTGAGGTAGGACAAAAGAAAAACATCCCCACTGTCCCACCACAGACTTTGTAACAAACAATTCCAACATTTATGCAACATATTCCCTCCGTACGTTTCCTCAAAGAGGACCTAATATGGGTTCATTGAACAAGTTAGGATACATCTGTAGGCTATTCAAAACATGTTCATTAGATTTTAATACACAAAATCATTTTCAGTTGATGAGATTTCACCTGGTCAGTTCTGCCTGTTCTGAGCTCTCTTCAGAACAAGCTCTRTGCAAATAAGCTGCTGTTGGCAAGCCCCTCCCAACCTTTTGTTTACGTTAGCKCCACCCTCCAAACATGGCATTTTTATTAGCATTTCAGAGATGTCAAAATGGCTGCTACCAACAGATGCACATAATGGTATAACAGTAGTCAATAGGCTGTGCGCAGTACATCCACCCCAGGGCTTGATAGGGACAGATTGAAGTCTGGCGCCTTGGTGCCGAAGAGGCCAACATGCATCTGTTGCTGCTTCCCGAGGGCCTGATGGAAACGCGATTCGCGCTGGAGCCGAACACAGGTTGCCRGTTCACGAGGACCTGGCGTTATGGAAGGAGAAAGGCATAGCTGCTCGCCT